TTTTTTGGTCCTCAAATTATTCCTTTTAAAATATCCTCCTATCACCATTCTTACTCCTTATTTCTTTCCCTTTTATCTATTACCAGTTATGAAGGCAGCTATGTATTTCTACAAAACATCTGTAGAGGGAGAAGGAAAGACCAAAGTACCTTTATTTCCGTAACTGGTGCTGAATGTCTCATGCTTCCAAGTTCTCTGCAGTCTTTCCAGAAATGTAAAGGATGTTGTGCCAGAATAGGGTTTCCTTCAGGTCACCACAGTGGTGTCTGTGTGTATGTGTGTGTGTGTGCACACACGCAAGCTCATGCACACACACCCAGCATCTGCCAAGTGCGGGTGGAATTTCCATTACTGTATCCTATGTTTCTTGTTGGTGGAGAAGCTGAGCTAGGATGAAGAAAGCGATTTCCTCATACACAGAGCTTTCATGTGTAAGTTAGAAATAAGAGCTTGGGGTGTTCTGAGATTTCTAGTTCAGAGAGACCCAAGAGACATCCACTACACAGCCTCTCCTGTTGAGAGCTCACCAGAGTAGGAGCATTGGACAGTCAGAGTCTATGGGCTCTAGTTCCATTTCTGTCACCAATGAGTGTGTGTGTGTGTGTGGGGGGGAGGGGTTGACCAGTATCTTCCATCTCCCTGAGCCTCCTGTTTTATTATCTGTCCAGGGGAGGGGTGTTTAAATTAGGTAGTTTTTATTGTTAACTCTTCACATTCTGTAGGGTTATAATTCTAAATTCCTGGAGTAGAAAATTCCCAGCTTCACAGAGTGGTTGGAATCCTCCTGTTTTCTCCTTTATAGTTTCCAAGTAGCCGAAAAACTCATGCAGCCTATGGGTCATTTTCCTCAGCAAATATGTACCATAATTGAGCCCTCTAAGGATAGGGAGCAGAGACACCAGCTTTTGACATGTACAAGGAAATAACCCTGACTTTCTATCCCTCCCTGGAGTCAGAATGAGGTGATAGGGAAATGAGCCATTATGTTCCAAAGACTATAGGCTGGGGGAAGAGAGTACAGTGAGATGAGCTAATAAGACTCAAAGGAATCAAAACGAAGAGCGAAGTGGGACGTAGAAAAAATTTGGGACATAAGGCAGGAATAGGTGTGGGGTGGGATATAAAGTAGATTTGCAGATCACAGGGTAAGAGTAAGACATTCTATCACCTGGAGAGGTCCAAATTTCAGCCCCATGCCCCACTTGGACTTGAATGGAACTATAGCTATTTACTCAAAACTCATTAAGTGCCAACTGCTACCACCATCTGCCCTTTTTGCAGCAGTTCCTATGTATCAGGTGTATAGTGGTCCAACACGGAGCCTGGAGGGTGGGTTCCTCATTGCCGCAGTAGGATGGGGTGAACCAGGGTGTTTGCTATAGTTCCCGGACGGTCTACGCAAGAGGGCAAAAGGGCCACGTGCAGGGTGAGTCTGGGAAGATGACCGTGAGTGTAGAGAGGGCTGCGCGGCCCACGCGCTGGGCAGGCGGCCTCGAGGGGCAACATGGCGCGCTGTCCTGCCCCATTTCGGGAGGGCGGCGGCAGCAGGGCCCGTGCCTCCCTCACGCGCTCGCTGTCCCTCAGGCGTGCATCCGGGCCTGCAAGCCCGACCTCTCCGCTGAGACGCCGGTGTTCCCCGGCAATGGCGACGAGCAGCCGCTGACCGAGAACCCCCGGAAGTACGTCATGGGCCACTTCCGCTGGGACCGGTTCGGCC